AGGGATATCCCCTTGGGCTGTCCCTCCATGAACAAGTGTTTTTCACCCCCAACAAGTTTGTTAAACCGGGGTTGATTAGGGGTTTTGTAAAAGCGTCCCACCCCAAATCTGAACCCTAAAGGGTTTCCACATGTTTACCGCCAGACATAAGGCCCCGCCCCCCCTTTCCTTCCCCACGAATCGAGGGGCCCTTAACCCAAAACTGGGGGTGTTGAATTTTTTGAAAAATAGGGTGCTGGAAAGTTAAAGGCCTCCTATACTCCCTCCCCCCCCCGGGGGGGGGGGGGGGGGGGGGGGGGGGGGCCCCCCCTAACCCGGGGCCATAGGCCCCAAAAAAAAACCGCCTCCTCATGCTGCTGCCGGGCCCAAAAGTCTCTCATGGGTTTCCCCTGAAAACCCCTCCCATTGCGCTGTCTCCACCCGCCAAAAACCTCTGCCATGTGCCACTTTTCGGTCCCCTTAACACTGTTTGGGTGTTTGAATTTTTTGACATAGGGTGCTGCAGATTACGGGCCCCCCAACCTGCCAGGCCCCAAATTTCTTCCAGGGGCCCCCTTTGTACCGTCTCCCCCAATCCCTGCTGCCGGGCCCCACAGTGTCTCATGCCATGGCCACTTTCAGGTCTCTTCACCTGCTGGTGTTTTAAATTTTTTTTGACAAGGGTGCGGGAAAGATTACGGGCCTCCAATAGCTGCTGCCAGGGCCCCAAATCTGCCATAGGCCCCAAAAATCCCCCTTTCCTCATGCTGCTGGCCAGGTCCAGACCCCCTGTAAAGGGCCCCCCTGTACGGCCCCCCATTGCTGCGTTCGCCATCGCCACACTCTGCCATAGTGCCACTTCAAGGTCTCCTCACACTGCTGTTGTGTTTTAATTTTTTTGTCATTGGGTGCTGGCAGCTTATGGGTGCCTCCTATTAGCTGCTGCCAGGCCCCTAATCTGCCATAGGCCCCTATATACCACGGCTCCTCACTGCTGCTGCGAGGTCCCAAGTCCCTCTCATGGGTCCCGACGCCTCACCATTGCTGCTGTCACCATCGCCACAACTCTGCCATAGGTGCCACTGTCAGGGCTCCTCCTCACAACTGGCTGTGTGGTAAAATTTTTTGTTTGACATAGTGTGATGGCAGATTAATGCGGGCCTCCCTATAGCTGCAGCCAGGCCCCTAATCTGCCATGGGCCCCTATATACCCTGCCTCCTCAATGCTGCTGGCTCTAGTGTTCCCAGAGTCTCTCATTGGGGTCCCTGTACGAGCCTCCCATTGCTGCTGTCTACATCGCCACAAATCCTCTGCCATGTGCCACTTTCAGGTCTCCTCACAACACTGCTGGTGTTGTATACATTTTTTGTCATAGGGTTGTGTGGCAGATTAAAGCGGCCCTCCCATTGCTGCTGCCAGGGCCCGAAATCTGCCATGGGCCCCCGTACCGACTCCTCATGCTGTGACGTTGCAACAAGGTGGAATTCAACCCTACATATGTTATACCGCCTTTACGAACAGCAAAAGGCCATCACAGATTTCCTGATGTTAAAAGCGGATAAAGGTACTCCCCCTGTGTAACTTAGATGTCAGCCATTGGCAGCTCATGCGTGACACCTGCCGCTTGCTCAGGCCCTTTGAGGAGGCCACGCTATTCGTGAGTCGGCAGGACTATGGGATGAACGACGTCATTCCTCTGTTGCACGTCCTGGAACAAATGCTGTTAACAATGGCTTGTCAGGGTGCGGTAGACGTGGCGCACAGATCTCAACGCCACATGACCCCTGTGGGGGCAGGACAGGAAGAAGAGGAGGAGGTAGAGGAGGACATTGGTGCTCAGGAGAATTATTGAGTGAAATGGGGTTTTTTTTTAAACTCAGCGGACAGGAGTGGAGGAGCAGGAGCATCTGGTAGAGGAGGAGGAAGGGAGACAGAGGACCCAGACGCACCGTGGCAGTATGCTGTGGAGATGGAGGCAGGGAGTCCCTCGCATTCCTTGCACAAATGGCCCATAGCATGCTCGCTTGCTTGCGTACCGACAGCCGAATAATAACCATCAGACAGAGGGATGACTTTTGGCTGTCCACCTTGTTGGACCCTCGCTACCGTTCCAAAATGGTGGCCTTTTTCACACCCTGCTGAGAGGGAGGCCAAAATAACGTACTATAAAAACCACCTATGTAGTCAGCTGGTCTCTGCCTGTCTGCGCCAACGTCCATCCTCAGACACTGTGGGCCCTGTGCGCTCGCGTTACGCTGCCATGGCAGCAGGGAGGGGTGGGGTGGTAGGAGCAGTGTGCAGCTCCACCAGCAGCGGCTGCCTCAGTCTGCAGTCGATGATGAGTAGCTTTCTTCACCAGCGCAGTGAGGAAACTAATAACCAGCCGCAGCAGCAGCAGCAGCATCAGGTGGACCTGGAGCAGGACCTCAAACAACAGGCTCGGGCCTACTTGGACAGCACCCTGCCAACCGAGGTAGACAATCCCCTTGACTACTGGGCAACGAAACTTGACCTTTGGCCCCAACTAGCTGAATTTGCCCTTGAAAGGCTGTCATGCCCGGCCAGTAGCGTGGGCATCGGAGCGCGTGTATAGTGCGGCAGGAGGTATTGCAACTCCGCGGAGGACACGACTGTCCACCCAAAGTGTGGAGAGACTCACGTTTGTGAAAATGAATCAGGCGTGGATTAGTCTGGATTTCAAACCACCAGTTCCTGACACAACTGACTAAATCCGCCATGAATCATGCCCCAAACATGTGCCACTTTCAGGTCTCCTCACACTGCTGGTGTGTTCCATTTTTTGTCATAGGGTGCTGGCAGATTACGGGCCTCCCATAGCTGCTGCCAGGCCCTAATCTGCCATGGGCCCCTATACCGCCTCCTCATGCTGCTGCCAAGTCCAGAGTCTCTCATGGGTCCCTGTACGGCCTCCCATTGCTGCTGTCTCCATCGCCACACTCTGCCATGTGCCACTTTCAGGTCTCCTCACACTGCTGGTGTGTTGAATTTTTTGACATAGGGTGCTGGCAGATTACGGGCCTCCATAGCTGCTGCCAGCAGGCCCCTAATCTGCCATGGGCCCCTATACCGCCTCCTCATGCTGCTGCCCAGTCCAGAGTCTCTCATGGGTCCCTGTACGGCCTCCCATTGCTGCTGTCTCCATCGCCACACTCTGCCATGTGCCACTTTCAGGTCTCCTCACACTGCTGGTGTGTTGAATTTTTTGTCATAGGGTGCTGGCAGATTACGGGCCTCCTATAGCTGCTGCCAGGCCCCTAATCTGCCATGGGCCCCTATACCGCCTCCTCATGCTGCTGCCAGGTCCAGAGTCTCTCATGGGTCCCTGTACGGCCTCCCATTGCTAGCTGTCTCCATCGCCACACCTGCCTTTGTGCCACTTTCAGGTCTCCTCACACACTGCTGGTGTGTTGAATTTTTTGTCATAGGGTGCTGGCAGATTACAGGCCTCCTATAGCTGCTGCCAGGCCCCTAATCTGCCATGGGCCCCTATACCGCCTCCTCATGCTGCTGCCAGGTCCAGAGTCTCTCATGGGTCCCTGTACGGCCTCCCATTGCTGCTGTCTCCATCGCCACACACACTGCCATGTGCCACTTTCAGGTCTCCTCACACACTGCTGGTGTGTTCCATTTTTTTGTCATAGGGTGCTGACAGATTACGGGCCTCCCACTGCTGCTGCCAGGCCTGTAATCTGCCATGGGCCTCCGTACCGCCTGGTCACGCTGCTGCTGCTGCTGGTCCACAGTGTGACATGGGTCCCTGTACCACCTCCCATTGCTCCCACTCTGCCATGTGCCACTTTGAGGTCTCCTCACACTCCTGCTGGTTTCCATTTTGTCATAGGTTGCTGTATGGCCTCCCATTGCTGCTGCCTCCACCGCCACACTGTGGTATATTCGACTCGAATCGAATATTGTCCACGAATTCGCCGAATCAGTCGAATCGAATTTTTGAATACTTCGCTCATCTCTAGTGTTAACCAACTCCTGGTCATCCGGCTACTGCAAACTGGAACTGGATCACAGAGTGGTCATCTGGCCTGCATCAGCTGGGCAAACATCACAACCTCAGGGACACCAGATATCAGAAGGCGTGTAGTCGTCTCACCACCGGGGGGGAGTCTAACCAGTCCTGATGTGGCCACCAGATCATCCCAATAAGCCTCCCTCATATGGTGGCCGTGTGTTCAGGATGGAGACCAACCAAGATATTTTTCTTGGTCTTCCAGATCTTGCTTTAACTTCCACTGTTCCTGATGACTGCCATTTCTTAATTACATTCGAACAGAGGATATTGACATCTGAAAACGCTTTGCTATCTTCTTATAGCCTTCTCCAGCTTTGTGAGCATCAACTATTTTCAGTTTCAGTTTTCTAGACAACTGCTTAGAAGAACCCATGGTGCTGATTGTTGGGGCAAGGTCAGATGAGTCTGGGCATTTAAAACCTTTGAGATTGACATCACCTGGTCTTCCCAGACGATGATTGAGAACAATCCATGACACTGGCAGGTCTCAGCTTGGCAAAGGGGGCAGTGCATGCTATAAATTCTGCAGGGTGCCCAAACTTTTGCAGACGCCATTTTTTTGTTTTCTGTTATTTTTAAAGTGTAAATGATGGAAATAAAATCTAACTTTTGTTGACATATTATAATAATGTCTAATCTGTAATTTGATGCCTTTTGGAGATTTTCCATCTTTCCTTGGCTTCTTTATGCACATTAATACAAATTTTTAGCTGGGGTGCCCAAACTTTCGATCCCCACTGTATATATATTGTACATTCTGATCAGTCCCTAACCCTCAAGGAGCCTAAATTACATTCATACATACACATACTAGGGCCAATTTAGACAGGAACCAATTAACCTACCAGCAACTCTTTGGAGTATATATATATATATATATATATATATATATATATATATATATATATACATATACACACACACACATACAGGTGTATATATATATATATATATATATATATACACAGTGGGGAAATTAATTATTTGATCCCCTGCAGATTTTGTAAGTTTGCCCACAAGGAAATGAAGGGTCTATCATTTTTATCATAGGTGTATTTTAAATGACAGACAGAATATTAACCAAAAATCCAGAAAAAAACACATAAATTTTATAAACTGAGTTGCAGTTCAGTGAGTAAAATAAGTATTTGATCCCCTACCAACCAACAATAACTCTGGCTCCCACAGACTGGCTCAGTGCTAAAATTGAACAAAAGACACCTGTCTACAGAATCTCTTTCTTGGGCACGACCATGGGCAAGATCAACGAGCTGTCAAAGGACTTCAGGGACAAGATTGTAGACCTGCACAAGGTTGGAATGGGCTTCAAGACCATCAGTCAGAAGCTTGATGAGAAGGAGACCACTGTTGGAGCGATTATTTGCAAATGGAAGAATTCAAAATAACCATCAATTTCTGTCGGTCTGGAGCTCCATGCAAAATTTCACCTCGCGGGGTAAGGATTATCATGAGAAAATTGAGGGATCAGCCCAGAACTACACGGGAGGATCTTATGAATGATCTCAAGGCAGTTGGGACCACAGTCACCAACCACACCATTGGTAAACAATATGCCACGATGGATTGAAATCCTGCAGCGCCCGCAAGGTCCCCCTCCTCAAGAAGGCACATGTCCAGGCCCGTCTGAAGTTTGCCAATAAACATCTAAATTCAGAGAAGGATTGGGAGAAAGTGTTGTGGTCAGATGAGACCAAAAGTGAGCTCTTTGTCATTAACTCGACTTGCTGTGTTTGGAGGAAGGAAAATGCTGACCCTAAGAACACCATCCCTACAGTCAAGCACGGAGATGGAAACATAATGCTTTGGGGCTGTTTCTCTGCTAATGGTACAGGCCGACTTTGCCGCATTGAGGGCCAATGGACGGGGCCATGCATTGTAAAATCTTGGATGAGAACCTTCTTCCCAAGGCCAGAACACTGAAGATGGGTCGTGGATGGGTCAATGACAATGACCCAAAACATACCGCCAAGGTAACAAAGGAGATTTACTTTGACTATTTTTTCCTCCAAAGAGTAAAACAGTTTATAACTGCAGGCTTGTTATTTTATTGGGCGTTCTCCTTTTTATACAGAGTCGCATAGTGCTGGCTATAGAGGAAGGGCCTGGGCCTGGCAAAGCAGCAGTTAGAAGGAATATTGAAGCTTGTGCACACACTAGAGACATTGTGAAAGAGCAGAGATCAGGACACACCTTGATAAATGAAGTGTGCATAGCACATAATGATTAACCAGAACGTTCACTGTACTAAGGAGTCCTGGCTGACGTTTCCATTACATTACAGGCATCGCTCCAGTGAGCAATACTCAGCTCTACTGGGTTTTGCACAGAGTGTAGATACGTGGAATGGAAAGGTGTATCTAAAACAGTGGTGGTCAACTTACTTTATATAGGGGGCCCACAAGTGCAGCCCAAAACAAACAGAAATTCCCAGCTCACCAGCCCGCCTGCAACAGTCTAACCCTGTCTAACAGTTCACATTAAAAACCAGGGTTTGCACACTTTCGCAAATGTATGTGTAAGCTGCAGAGGCCGAAATATGGCACCCCAGTGTACTGTGGTCCTATACATTTTGAGAGCCTCCCAAGTTGGAGCACATTTATAATAACAGATAGATTAAGGGCAGGTATGCCTGGAGGGAGCCCACCCCTTGTGGACACTGGACACCCAGAAAGAGCACAATGGCAGCTGAAGGCATCCAGTGCGTCCCCGCACCAATATATCAACTATACAAACAAATGGCAAGCACCCCAACCTATGACTAGCCTTAGCAGCAGGAGCACATTGGTATATATAGTTGTAACCCGGGATTGTAGATGATAACTGCTGCCGAGCCTCACCCTTTGTTGCTGCTGTATTATCCTTCTGCAGTGTAGACAGGGTTAAACTGATTATTCATTAAAGCAAGCTTTAAGGAGACCACTTTGCAATGCTTGTCTATGAAGCCATCTTGGCTGGGTCTGGTTTGATCCTGGAGGACAGGATCTATGGAATCATCTCATGTCTAGAACCTATTGTTTTCACTGTTAGAGTATCCAATATATTTAAAAAGCCAGTCTAGGTGGACTGGTCCTTTAACTCAGCTCTCTGCTGCTACTTTTTACATCATATTGCTTTACCTGCAGCAATTGACTAGTATGAATACTGTTCATTGAAACATGACTATTGCACCAGAGATAGGCTCGTCCACTTCCCCATTACCACCATTACCGTTCCGCACCAACCCCCTTCCCCTTAACCAATTATACTAACAAAAGACATAACACCAATTTTGGAGTAAATGGCCAACATGGCCTTTTATTAACAACTCAAGTTACAATACACCAACCATTCCTTATAACAGAAAACCCACATAATTGTTGTTGGTCTTCGAAGGCACCCCAAAACGATCCGAAATGCACCTGCGGACAAACCATATACACTAGGCCTCCAGCCGCAACCAACCAGCTCGGAGACAACCATACCGTCCGCAGTGCAGCACCACCACCTTCCAGTTAAACCTTGGTTAACTGGGAATGTCCCCCGGGCATCCCATACCACGGATGGGTCCCACACCATTGTTGTTTACCTTCCAAATAAGAACCGCCTCCAAAGACCAACAACCGCCACCAACCATTCCTTATAACAGAAAACCCACAGAATTGTTGTTGGTCCTCGAAGGCACCCCAAAACGATCCGAAATGCACCTGCGGACAACCATATACACTAGGCCTCCAGCCGCAACCAACCAGCTCAGAGACAA